TATTTACCGCTGGTTTTTAGTTCCCACTGCTGGTGACCTTCTAATGTATGTCTGCTCTTCAAGTCCGCTTCACAGTGACACTAACTTGCTGCACTACTGACTGGTTGGAGGTGTTGCCAGAAAGACTGTACAGTTAATGGACTAACAATTAACTGGCAAGATTTATTTTAAATTTTAAACTACGCAGATTGACGCTAATTGGTCAAGGCATTGCCATGAGAAGTGAACTAGCAAACGTCTCTCACATATTTTGCTCAGTTGGAATGGTTGCAGTGTGTGGACATGTTCTGTCTGTAAAGAACAGGATCCTGTATATTAATTAATATATGTCTATATTAATATATATTCCAGTATGCGTAAGTAGGAGATAACAAGGTGTAGAGCTGGATGAACACAGCAGGCCAAGCAGCATCAGAGGAGCAGGAAAGCTGACATTTCGGGCCTTGACCCTTCTTCAGAAATGGGGGAGGGGAAGGGGGTTCTGAAATAAATAGGGAGAGAGGGGGAGGTGGATAGAAGATGGATAGAGGAGAAGATAGGTGGAGAAGAAACAGACAGGTCAAAGTGGCGGGGATGAAGCCAGTAAAGGTGAGTGTAGGTGGAGAGTTAGGGAGGGATAAGTCAGTCCAGGGAGGACGGACAGGTCAAGGGGGCGGGATGAGGTTAGTAGGTAGGAAATGGGGGTGCGGCTTGAGGTGGGAGGAGTGGATAGGTGGGAGGAAAGACAGGTTAGGGAGGCGGGGACGAGCTGGACTGGTTTTGGGATGCGGTAGGGGGAGGGGAGATTTTGAAGCTTGTGAAGTCCACATTGATACCATTGGGCTGCAGGGCTCCCAAGCGGAATATGAGGTGCTGTTCCTGCAACCTTCAGGTGGCATCGTCGTGGCACCGCAGGAGGCCCAGGATGGACATGTCGTCTGAGGAATGGGAGGGGGAGTTGAAATGGTTCGCGACTGGGAGGTGCAGTTGTTTAGTGCGAACCGAGCGTAGGTGTTCCACGAAGCGGTCCCCAAGCCTCCACTTGGTTTCCCTGATGTAGAGGAGGCCACAACGGGAACAGCGGATACAGTATACCACATTAGCAGATGTGCAGGTGAACATCTGCTTGATGTGGAAAGTCTTCTTGGGAGCTGGGATGGGGGTAAGGGGGGAGGTGTAGGGGCAGGTGTAGCACTTCCTGCGGTTGCAGGGAAAAGTGCCAGGTGTGGTGGGGCTGGAGGGGAGTGTGGAGTGGACAAGGGAATCACGGAAAGAGTGGTCCCTCTGGAAAGCAGATAAGGGTGGGGAGGGAAAAATGTCTTTGGTGATGGGGTCGGATTGCAGATGGTGGAAGTGTCGGAGGATGATGCGTTGGATCCGGAGGTTGGTGGGGTGGTACGTGAGGACGAGGGGGATTCTATTTTGGTTGTTATTGCAGGGAGGGGGTGTGAGGGATGAGTTGCAGGAAACATGGTTGAGGACATTCTTGACCACTGTTGGGGGGGATGTTGCGGTCCTTGAAAAACGAAGATATCTGAGATGTTCAGGAGTGGAATGCCTCATCCTGGGAGCAGATGCAGCGGAGGCAAAGGAATTGGGAATAGGGGATGGCATTTTTGCAGGAAGGTGGGTGGGAAGGTGGCTGTGTAAGTAGGAACCTGACTGACAATCCTAAATTGGTTGTCAGCATAATTCTTTGCATGACTTCTTGTCAATTGTCTTGATGGGTGCAAGATACAAAGTTTGACAAAGTATGAGATTCGTTTCAGCAATAATCAAATTAATTATGGTTAGAAATCAGAAAACTCAAATCATAGAATGAAAACCATATCTGACAAAGTCTAATGACTGGAGAAGACCTCAAGCCTACCCATAGATGCTGGCTGCTTAAGGTCACACTGCCAAGCATACCTATCCTTCATTCGAACCCCATTGTTTTAACTCAAGCAAAATCCACAAAACCAATCACCAAATCAAAGCATTCCCTTTTTAATATTCCCTTCAAACCATACTACTTCATTAGCAACTTTGTTCAGGTAATTAATCCACTTACAATCTGCTTTTAACCACAGCCTCAATAGAAAGACAGCTCTGCTAGTCTGGCTAATTCTACATTGTTCTGTAGGATTCACAAATATATCATTAGCACCATCTCTCTGCCCATGTTTCACAATATTCCTTTGCAAACGCCCTTCAATCCTGTCCATTATCAGACAACTTGTTTCCGTTCATCAATTGACTGCAATTACAGCATGTTATTCATTCTCAATCTCTGCATGACCTTCAATAGATTCTTTCATTCCTCCTCCACCATTCCTAATTGTTGTTATTAAGTGGTTTGAGAAAAACTAGCATGCTGCAGATCAGCCATCATCCTTTTGAATGGGTACCAGACTTAAAAAGGCTAACTAGCCCACTCCTGTTCCTGTGCCCTTCCCTTTCCTCATAGCCACCTCATGTTCCTTATGTTCCACTACTGTCTATTCAAACGTAACCAGTATATCTCCTACAATGCCTTGTCCTTCTACACTCAAGTTACTTCCACCATGTTTCAACATTCATTGGTGGTTTGTTATTCATCATCCACACAAGGTCTCTGTGCAACATTGTCCATCAGCATGATACTAACTTCCATACCATTGTCTCTTTTCTACAAATAATTCATCTTCAAAATTTTCCATAGTTTTTCCCTACCTTAACTCTTTACAATATCCTCTAGCTCTAAGTCTCCTCTTCGTTGAATCAATTCTCAGTGCTTTTGATTTCATTTGTACTACTATTGTTAAGACAACCACCCTCATTGGTGAACTTCTGTATCTCTAAAAATATACACAAAATCTACCTGTTCCAACAACAGTTTCTACAACATAAATGTAAGACTTCTAGTTACCAGGCCACATCATATCCTTTAAGATACTGTATTTGTTTCCTTATGTCTATTTGTGATGGTTTGTAGCATTTTTCATTGATATTCCCTAATATAAGACACCAAAGAAATTATGATGTTCATGGCGAGAATTGCTGAGTGTCCAAAACTCTTGCCATCAACAATACTAATGCTGTAAGTCTCAAGTCTAACCAGAAGCTTCTCCTCCTAGGTTCCTACCTCCACCCGGGGTCTGCGTCCAATTTATTTTATCAAGTACCTTAGAATACTTCTCAATTTCAAAAAGATGCTGTCTTAAAACACAAGCTGTTGGTGCATGCACAATTGTGTCTCAGTTCGGGTGTAAGAGAGAGGAGGAGGTTGGGAAAGTACAGTAGTAGGGCTGATGAGAATGCAAATGATTGTGAGCTGTTGGCATTATTGTAAAAGAGAAAAATCCATTAATGTTCACTGTATTGAGTCTTGTGTTCATTTCGTTTGATCAGCAGTAACAATGAAACATGACAGATTATGTGGATTGGCTACACAATGCAATGAGCATCAAAAAGCATTTTCCTGTTGATCTTAACAAATGACACAACTCTGAAACTACTAAAGACATGATCTAATTTTCCATTCGGCTTTTATACCGTAGTCCAAATCAATCCACCATTCCAATTGTTCCCAAGGATACAGGCTGGAGAACATGGAAAAGTGGTAGTGTTCCTACCTGTGGACCAGGAAAGCCTGGGTTCGAATCCTACCTGCTCTAGAGATGTGCCATAACATGGCTGAACAAGTTGATAAAATAAAAGCTACAGGTCAGGGAACCCAATAGAGACAACAGCTAGGGAGTACAGTCAAGATGAGAACAGTGTTAGGGAGGAGAAGGAAGTCAGAGTAACAGAAATCATGTTTCTAGAAGAATTCTGGTACATGAAATAGTTTAAAATGCATGGCCACCCAATCTAGTCCACTTTAGAAAACCAGACTAATTCAGTCAGGTTGTCAGAGGATCTGGACACAGGTGTATATGGTTGCTATAACATGGACATCAGGTTTTTGCAGGAAGAGAAAAAAAATTGAAAAGCTACATCTTATCGAGAATAGACAGAGAACAAGCTGTTTAAAAAAAAACAGGTATTATCTATCACTTGTACAGGCTCCCATTATCCCTCACAAATCTCAGCCTCTAACACTAATTGAAATGTTCCTGTCTCCAGCAGAAACCGATCATTCTCACCCTACATTGCTTTGGATGCTGTATTACCTGCTTTTGGGAACCAGAACTTCAACTGCTGAATCATTTCCAGAGAACAAGGAGGTACTTCCAGTTCTCAATCTTACACATCAGTGCCAGTAAACTCAAATTGTTTCAATAGGTAGCCGTCATAAAGAATGTGCTCGTTTTTGCAATGTGTTCCTGTACCTGATGATCTTGGTATTGAGAACATAATGGAAAGACCCATCATTTCATCAAACTGGAGAGAAAACGCCATAGGGAGAGCCATACTGCAGCTGAATCCTTCTGTGCTATATCTATTATTATTGTTTTAGGATTTAATCTACAGTCTGGGCCAGTAGCCCCACATACCAGAATGCACTCATCCCAAAGATATCATGTAGTCCATATGCCCGCCAACTCAGGCAGCAGAGGAACCCAGCACAGAGCCACACAGTTTAGTGTTGTCCTGCATCACAGCCTCTCTCATTGGCATTCACACCATTATCAAACAGCTATCACAGAATACAACCAGCTGCAGCCAAACAGGTGAACTCCGGTAGCACTTTAGATTCACATACATGATCAGCATCTCTACCTCACACACAGACACACATTACACAGGTCAGACAGCACTAGTCAAATACACTCAGATTAATTCGTAGGGATTAGAATGAATGCTACAATTCAAAATGAACTGTATTAATTAACAAGAGAATTGTATTAATAGTTGCGGTTCTGAATCTCTCAAAAGTTGTTCCCAGGAGAGGAAAGCGAATGAAATTACATCGAATTGATAGACCTGGAGTCCTTGAACGGACGTATCTGATTAGTGGTTACACGAGTTTTGCTGGACTTGACTACAACAAGGTCACTGGATCGCACAGAAGAACCTACCGCCTCTCGAGCGTAACAACGAGTACAGTTACTCACAGATTTTAGCCAGGCTGGCTACCAGAATCCACACTGCAATCAGGTAGGGTCCTTGAACATGAACCCATTGCCACTTCACCATCTCGAAGCCCACAATGTCGTGACCGTGATGACTCTCCGAGCTCTGCATTTCTGCGGGCTGCCGGGTTGGCTGCAGCTCCGGCTGATGCAAAGGTGAGAGGCCAGCTTCAGGCAGCAACTCTGTCCCCACCGAGGTCCCATTGCTGGCGGGCGAAGCCTGCACCGCACACAGCAGCAGCAGCAGGACGGGAGGCATCGTTCGCTGTAAACCCGGAACAGGCGAGTGACTGTCTCTGTGTGTGTGTGTGTGTGTGTGTGTGTGTGTGCGCGCGTCTGTCGTGACAACCCGCACACCGGACAACCAACAGTTCACAACCTGACTTCGTTACCTCAGCCTCCCTGGACTGAGACTTCGCCTTTTTAACTGAGGGAGGCAGGCCTGGGGAGCATGTGACCAGCAGGGGTACCCAATGCCTGTTCCTCACCGCCAAGCTGTCAGTCAGAGCTCACAAAGTGCAGGCCCCTGTCCCAGTGCCAGCGGGAGACCGGCTGCCTGCCCTGTCCCCTCACTCCACCTGCAGAAGTGCTCACATTTCAAATTTTCTCAAAACGGCCCAACCTTCATCTCAAATCTCAAATTCATCTTTGAGTCTCCTCGATATTTCAATTGGCATTTTCTTAAAAAGAAGAGAGATGAAATAACTCCACAGAGGCCAGCATCCCGACACATTTTAGTCATAAGTGGAGACTGCTAAAAACAGATGTGGCTTTCTCAGAGCGGACGGGATGTTTAACACTCTTGTTCTTATCTGTCAGCCAGGGCTCCCTGATTGGACCAGATTAACAGCCCCAATCAGGGAACTCGTATTCAATAAGGTCCACCAGGCTGACCTCATTACAATCACTACAAGAGGATATAATGCACAGTGAAATCAAATACTACAATTAGACAATGACCTATCCTGTTTCTGCCTCTGAGCCCAGTAGAATTAACTGGCACCATACTCATGCCAATGTTATATTATAGATATGCTGTGCTGACCAGCTACATAGGTACTTGTTCACACGGTCACTTTGAATCTAATGTGCCTTCAATTTTGAACTTTCCCATCACAATATCTGACTACACATGATCTACTGTAATTGGTTTGGTTTCAGGTACTGACCATGATAATGATGGCAGTGCCCCATTGTGTTTCTGGTCAACATTGTTCAGGCTGGCTCAGGGCTGTGAAGTGAGTGATATCATCTTCCTTAATGCAGTGCCTGCTGTGCTGGGAATATTTATGAAACCTGCTACTGGGGAAAATACAAATTCTGCTGAATATAAACCTCTCCTCCGTATGCAAACACAAACACCTTCCAATCTATAAAGCTCAACTGTCCCAAGAAGGGTATCGACCCGAAACGTCAGCTTTCCAGTTCCTCTGATGCTGCTTGGCCTGCTGTGTTCATCCAGCTCTACACCTTGTTATCTCAGATTCTCCAGCATCAGCAGTTCCTACTATCTCTGTCCCAAAAGACAGCTGTAATTTTATACAAACAGTTGTGCATGTGATGACGAATACCACCCTCAGTATTTATTGAGGTGATGTATTCACTACAGTTTAAATCCAGCTGAGATACGGGCTGAATGGCCTCCAGTGCTATCTTTTTTATTATTCTCATTTCAAATCGTGTATTTGTCTTAAATTATTTGATTGAATTTAAGTAAGTGTGTTATTTTTCTCACTATAGTATTGGCAGGAAATTCTTTAGCATGTTAAGAAATCTAGACTTTAGACCACACTAAGCCGTTTCCCATCCAACAGATCAGATGGAAGTAACAGAGAGAACTGCAGAGGCTGGAGATCTGAAATGAAAACGGAAATTACTAGAGAAATTCAGCCGGACTGGCAGCATTTGTGGAGAGAAACTGGAGTTAACATTTCATATCCAGTGACTCTTCATCAGATGAAGAGTCATCTTCTGATGAAGAGTCATCAGACTTGAAACATTAACATTCCTACTACCATTAATTTCCAAAGGTCCCCGCTATCACAGATATCAGTCTCCGGCCAACTTGATTCACTCCACAAGAAGTCGGCAAATAGCTGAAGACATGGGATATTTAAAGGCTATGAACCCTGACAACATTTCAGCAATAATACCGAAGTCTTGGGTTCCAGAACTAGCCATTCTCAATGTCAAGCTGTTTCAGTACATCTAAATACTGACATCTAACCAGCAATGTGCAATATTGTCCAAGGTATCTTTTTTTAATTTATTCATTAATGGGATGAGGGCATCGCTGGCTACGCAGCATTTATTGTCTATCCCTAATTGCCCAGGGGGCAGTTCAGATTCAATCACATTGCAGTGGGTCTGGATTCACATGTAGATCAGACCAGGTAAGGATGGCAGTTTCCTTCTCTAAAGGACATTAGTGAACCAGGTGGGGTTTTCCCACAATTGACAATGGATTCCTGGTCATTGTTAGATTTTTAATTCCAGATATTTTATTGAATTCAAATTCCACCATCTGCCGTGGTGGTATTCGAACCTGGGTCCTCAGGATGTTATCTGGGTCTCTGGATTAACAGTCCAGTGATAATACCACTAGGCCATCGCTTCCCCTCCTGTCTACAATAAGCTGGACAAATCCAAACTCGCCAGTTACCACTCCATCACTACACATTTAATTAACCACAAAGTGATGGAAGATGTCAGTGACGAGGCCACGAAGCAGCATGTGCTCAGTAATCTTCTCCTCACTGACACTCAAGTTGGGTTTCACCAGAAGCAGTCATCTCTTGACTTCATTGCAGTCTTGGTCCAAATATGGACAAAATAGCTGAACTCCTGAAGTGAGGTGGGAGTTACTGCCCCTGCCACCAAGGCAGCATTTGATTGAGAGTGGCTTAAGGAGTCCTAGCAAAACCAAAATCAATGAAAACCAGGGGTCATCTCTCCAAAGGGTTGGAGCCATACCTGGTACAAAGGAAGGTGGCTGTAGTTGGTGGAGGTCAGTCATCTCAGCTCCAGGACATCTCTGCAGGAGTTCCCCAGGGTAGTGTCCTCGGCCCAACCATCTTCAGCTGCTTCATCAATGACCTTCCCTTCATCATAAGGATATTTGCACAATGTTCAGAACCATTCGTGAATGCTCAGTTACTGAAGCAGTTCATATGGAAATGCAGCAAGACCTGAACAACATTCAGAATAGGGCTGACAAGTGGCAAGTAACATTGCTGCCACACAAATGCTAGGCAATGAACATTTCCAACAAAAGAGCATTTGACTATCTTTGAGCAATCAATGGCATTATCAGCACTAAACCCCCACTATCAACTACCTGGTGGTTACCATTGATCAGAAATTTGACTGGACCAGCCATATAAATAATGTGACTCCAAGAACAGGTCAGAAGCTGGGAATTCTGCAATGAATAATTCACTTCTTGATCCCCCAAGTCCTTTCCACTATGTACAAGAGACAAATCAGGAGTGTGACAGAATACTCTCCACCTGCTTGGTTAAGATGCAGATCCAACAAGAATCAAGAAAATTGACACCATCCATGATAAAGCATCTCATCCCTCACTTTCAACATTCACAACTGATGCACAGTGTGTACCATCTACAAGTGCACTGCAGCAATTCACTAAGGCTTCTTCAACAGCACACTTTCCAAACCCGTGACCTCTATCAACTAGAAGGCCAAGGACAGCAGATACATGAGAACACCACCACCTGCAAGTTCCCCTCCAAGCTGCTTACCATCCTGTCATGGAAACATATCACCATTCCTTTAGTGCCGCTGGGTCAAAATCCTGGAAATCTCTCCATTACATCACTGTGGGTCTACCTACACTCTATGAAGTGCAGTGGTTTAAGAAGGCAACTCACCACCAATTTCTTAAGAAAAATTTGGAATAGGCAATAAAAACTGATGTAATCAGCAACCTCCACATCCTGTACAAGAATGAATTTTAAAAAAAACTTAAACTAAGTGAATTTTCCCAACACACATTCTATACAAGTTAATTCAATCTTGGTATGAATATTTTTATAATTTTATATATAATCAAAAGACCATATTAATCTTTTTCTGTAAGTTTTCTGGGTAAGCCAGCCCACAGTTTCAAACTGAGTAAAATAAATGAAAGGCTAGGGACACCTGCAAAACTACATATATAATATATTAAATGATGCAGGAACTATTGGTTGAGTGATATTAAATTTATATTTTGCCAGGATGATCTTTTTTCTGACAATTTCAGAGTTTATCACCAAAAGCACTCCTCACTGTCTGTAACAGTGACTCAGGGCTCCATCATTCCCAACTTTTGCCATATAACAGTCATTAACTTTTCTCATGTCATGTATGTGCCCCCTTTGCCTCATGAAGTAAGACAAGCATATTGTTGCCATACCAATCACCTTCATGCTCTTTGTTTGGGAAGGGGAAAATTGTCTTATTTAATTTTTCTAAACACCCATTCTTCACACAGCTCACATCTAAACAAAAGCCACCACCTATCAGCTTTGATGACTCTGGTTTTACAGTGTTTTTCACATAGATGTACAAAAAGGGTGAAATAAAACAGTTAAAACACACCAATGCCTTCCCTCATTATGAAGCCTGGCATCCCTCAAATTTGTTGACAATTTAATCCTTAAAATCTGAAATGAAGCTCCTATATCTTTTTTGTTATTAAATCTGCCTCTGAGAATCTTATATTTTTCTTTGTGCCAAATAGTTCTTTATCCCTTAACAACTTTTGGCTTCCTATAAAACCCAATTCTGATTAACACTGTAATTGTTAGAATTGAGAATGATATTCTAACATTTACAGTGTTAATCAGAATACATAGGAAAACTCCTCTCTGGCAGATAACCCTCTAAGTGCCTAAGTGTCAATTTCAGGGAGGTTTATGGAGGGTTTCCCTGGCAATTTTTCTCAATTGCTCATCTTATTAACTACGAACCCCACCTCCATGGCACTCTCTTACACAGTCTTGTTCAGCAGCAGGAAAGGCCTCAACAGTACCAGCACCTTCTGCATTCACACTGCAGGTGTTATATTTATACCCCAGCTATACAGCATTTCAAATGCTGCAGACCAGGAAGTGCCCTTCATGATGTGATTGCCTGAGCGAAAGAGACCTGCTTCGCTGACAGAGATCAGGGAGTTATGGTGGAGGAAGGTTGTCCTCTTTCCTCAGGGCTGCCAGAGGAGACCATGGCATCAGACCCTTCCACCATCTTCTCTCTGCTACCTCACCAACATATCACCAAAAATCTGTCCTGGTCGATCCATGTTGACGCTACAGTCAAGAAAGCAAACCAAAGCCGCTACTTCCTCAGGAGGCATGTCCACAAGGACCCTTACCA